TTTACGTCGCATTTGTACTGCACAACGATATCGTTGNTGGATGATGGGTTAGTCGACTAAAAGCTTTAGGAATCCAAGGTACAACATATAATAAGTACCCTGTATCAAGATTGATGCAAAACAAGTGATATTTGACCTTTTGGTCAAATATCACTTGTTTTGCATCAATCTTGATACAGGGTACTTATTATATGTTGTACCTTGGATTCCTAAAGCTTTTAGTCGACTAACCCATCATCCAAGGTTAGTTTTCACTATAAGTACCAAATATTTTTTGGACGGACACTATCATTTACAGTTTTTTACCATGTTCAATCTGAATTTTCTTTAAAATAAAAAACATCTATATTGATTCTGACTTTTCTACATCCAACTCACAGGTTTATCATTACTTTGAGAAAAAAGATTATTGATGTAACCCTTTTAGAAGGGAAGATATGGTCATTTGTTCTGGGAATGTCATTTTCGAGCCTGAAACCTGAAAAACAGGCTTGGGGCTTAAGAGGGAGGTTGCTTTTTCTTTGCACAGCATGAAAGAAACGCGAAATGAATGGGCTGTGATTTTAGTTCTTTTAAGCAGAGGTCAATCATTTGTACGACCCTCGGAGGATGTTGTAAAAATTGAAATGGCCCTTGAGAGGAAAAAGGTTCCCCACCCCTGAATACAAGGTGATTTCCAAACACATAATGATGGCAAACACCTGAACAGAAAGCCAATAAATTCAGCAGCTGTAGGTGTAAAGTATGACCACTAGATGGCACCACTAACATGCATTGACAATGACATTGACATTGATAATGTGAACAGAATGAGTAAAAACATGAATAAACACATAACGAGACAGTAAAAAATGAAATATATGAAAAAAGTTTACATATTTTTGAGCAAAGGTAATAGGCCACATGTATCAGAGATAATATAAAAGTGCTGGTTCAGCTGTGGGGTACATTTCTATACAAAGTTTCTCTCTGCAGTCTCAATTCTGAGAAAAAAGTTTGATTTAAAAAAATAAGGCAGAATATTTAGAGAAAGTAAGATTTTTTAGGAAAGTCCGAATTTCGAGAAAAAAGTCCTTACTCTGATAAAACATTCCAGATTTTTTTTTTTTTTTTAAAAAAGGCAGAATTTTGATTTGGATAAAAGTAAACATTTTTTTTTAAAAATCTGAATTTTTATAATGATATAATATGTTTTAGAAAAGCATTATATACAAAAATATATATACTGTAAAAGTCTGAATTTTTTGAAAAAGTCGGAATTCCGATAAAGAGAGGGAATGCTGAAGAATAAGCTGAGGGGAAGAAAAGTCAGAATTTTGTGAAAGAAATGTCAGAATTTTGTGAAAGAAATGTCAGAATTTTGAGGAAAAATACAGAATTCTTGGAAAATCTAAATTTTGACTTTAATCTCAGCATTTTGAAGAAAAATTCTGAAAATCTTAACTTTTGGACAGACCTAAACAAAAAAACAATGTGGGCCTTATTATCTGTAAATTCTTTGTTCTCAGTAAAACATTAAATGATGCACAAAACAAGAAAAATTGAGTCCAAAATAATTCCCACATGTTTGCCACTAGAGGGCGCTGTGTCATATCAAAAGTAACAGCAGGCAGTGGAGCAGCAGTCTGACACCAAGTCTAAAATCTAAGAAGTTTCTTCAAACCATGACAAGAACAATTATAATAGCATTCAAGCATTCAAACATCATTTGTCATTCCTCTCTTACATATTTGTTACTCATTTTCAGATCACCATCTCAACTAGCAACCTCTCCCTTAATCTTCAAAGAAAACACAACAGTGAAAACTCTTCTCCTGGACTTAAGCCAAGAAGAAAGCCTTTGAGTCTGCTGCGAGATCCATCATGACAATCAGCCTGCATCCAACCATAATTGGCCATGGTATTCCCTCTGATATTAATAGCTGGTATTATATAAAGGCAATTTCTCTGTTGCGCACAATATACCTGTAACATGATGACCTGAGTCCGTGAGGCCAGCCTTGAGTGGGCAGTTAACAATAGTATTAATAACATTCAGTAGAACGCAGGCTGGAGAAAGTGTGACGGAAATTAGCAGCCGAGGACAGACGAGAGTTCGCAAGTGGGGGGAAAGGAAAGACGTAAAGAAGCCTCAGTGGCACAGGACGAGGTGTCAAATAACAGGGCAGGGACCCCTTAGGCCACATCTTAAAAGACACACACACACACACACACACACACACACACACACACACACACACACACACACACACACACACACACACACACACACACACATACGCGCGCAATGCCGAGGCCTGCGGTGGCATCGCTGTCAAGTGCCAAATGCTTGTGTTTGTGCTATGAGAACAGGAATGAGCTGCTGACTCTCAATGACACACTCACATTCTGAAGGAAGACTGAGGAGGAGGAGGAGGAGGAGGAGGAGGAGGAGGAGGAGGAGGAAGAGGAGGAGGAGGAGGAAGAGGCTGCCTCAAACTTCTGTCATGGCCTTATCCCATCCAGAGTCATATGTCAGGACTAAGTATTGATGATCATTGGCATTCATCTCTTACATATTTGTTACTCATTTTCAGATTACCATCTCACATAGCAACCTCTCCCTTAATCTTTAATAACAGAAAACACCACAGTGAAAACTCTTCTTCTCCTGGACTCAAGCCAAGAAGAAAGCCTTTAAGTCTGTTGCCAGATCCACCATTTAAAAAATAAAAGAATGATGGATAAAATACTGCAGAAGTATTGATGATTGGTACAGGATAAATACACAACAACAGACAACGGCAACGTCAGTGTGGAGTGTTTTTACCGCGCATCATACAGTATGAATGCAGCCTAAGAATTAAACCACATGGGTTAAAATAGGCACACAATACATTTCACATATTTGGCGTTAAATCCAATAACCCCTACCAAAAACTGTACTCGCACAAACAACAGGCAATAAGACTGTTAAACACCTGAACTGTTGAAACAACATCCATAGCGTAATGTTATGGATGTTGTTTCATATATGCAAGCTATTGGAATGATATATTACTGTAGATACATTTATCTAATATATCATTCCAATAGCTTGCTTATAGACTCTTATTTCACCATTTTACTTTTTTTGAACTATTTTTCTTTTTGTATTTACTTTTTAATATTTACTTGCACTATATTTTTCTGTTTTTCTGTATTATTGTGTTGCACTGTTGGAGAAGTGACCTAAGATTTTCATCGACATAACTACTCTGTAGCTACACTGAACAAAAATATAAACGCAACACTTTTGTTTTTGCTCCCATTTTTCATGAGATGAACTCAAAGATCTAAAACATTTTCTACATACACAAAATAACCATTTCTCTCAAATATTGTTCACAAATCTGAAAAAATCTGTGATAGTGAGCACTTCTCCTTTGCCGAGATAATCCATCCCACCTCACAGGTGTGGCATATCAAGATGCTGATTAGACAGCATGATTATCGCACAGGTGTGCCTTAGGCTGGCCACAATAAAAGGCCACTCTGAAACGTGCAGTTTTGCTTTATTGGGGGGGGTCCGAAAACCAGTCAGTATCTGGTGTGAGGGTTAGGATTAGGGTTAGGGTTAGGGTAATGTTGTGAATCGAGTGGCCCATGGTGGTGGTGGGGTTATCAGTGATGCAAACACACGTATGGTGAAAAAAGAGAGAACTATTCGAAGCAGAAAAAAAACAGCGTAATATACCATCTGACAAAGGCCTGTGCTATAATCCTTCAATTAACTGGCTGTTCTTTATAATATATTCAGATCAATAGGAGACAGAGATGTTAAGTTATAAANCCCATTTTTCGACCCTGCGGCTTATATAACGGTGCGGCTAATCTATGGATTTTTACAGCTAACGGCCACTAGAGGACCTCCTAAATCTATGGATTTTACAGGTTACAGTCCACCACCTTTAACTCTATGGGCTCTATGGCCGGTCCGCGGACCCCCACCTTTAAGCGGCGGGTTCCAGCAGGAAAAGCTGGAGGCCGGAAAAGAGTGAGACAGGTAGCGCGCAAAAGTAAAAGTGGAACCGAGAGTGGTACGAGAGACAGAACGAGAGCAAGACAGACAGACATTACGAGAGCGAGACAGTTTGTCCCCGTACCACTGGTTAAAAAACGCTGCTGTAGATCACTGCCGGTATGTGCGCTGGGAGCGCACCGTTTAAGTTTGAAAGTTGAAAAGTTTGTGTGTCTGAAACGCTATGTGATACAGTACAGTTTACACAGCACAGTACATGTTCTGTAGCTACTATTGCACTAAATGGTAACACTTGAATACGTTATGCAAATATGCAACTTGTTTGTTGAAATGTTAATAAATGGGAGCTTCCTCAAACAGCCATCTCTTTCCCGACAATCCCCTCTGTGCACGAACCCTTACATATGGTAATTAAACATTAAAACACCTGCGGCTTATAGTCCAGTGCGGCTTATATATGTACACATCATTCAATTTAGCTGCTGCGGCTTATATTCAGGTGCGCCTTATAGTCCGAAAATTACGGTAATAAAGGTCTCCTAAACATATTTCCAATGTAAGTGATAAGGTATTTGAAAGGGATAAAGCAAGACATTAATTTATGATCCCAACAAAATCGTTGGTTGACCAAATCCATTGATATGGTAACCGTGAAGATATTGTATGGTTGAATATTTATTCTTTCTCGAGATATTTACACAATGAGAATTCTGATAAATAGTCATCTCTAATGTGGATGACTAAGCGGGTAAAGATAAATAAAAACAGTGTTCTCAATAAAAAAAATTAAGAGAATATCTAGTCTCATATTACAATATCGATATTCAGTTGTGAATTGTTCTTCGTGACGAACGCTTAGGATTACAATCTTTGCCAAATTGTAAAAGCTCTCTAATCGAGCTATCACACTGGTCCGTGTGGACAGGCTGAGGGCTCAGTTAGATCCTTGACACATCAAGAGACTGAGCAGCTTTTTGAGGAGTGTTCTTCTGTTGCCCAGTGGGCTGTGAGGCAGCCCTTCTCTGGGCTCTGGGCCACTGCTGTGCTCAGCCAGATGGAGGAGACCCTCACCATACCAGGCAGCCCGCTCCAACAGACCTGCCATCTGACTAACCAACCTGCCTCTCCTCTCCCCTCTCTCTCACTCCCCCACCCTCCCCTCCGACCACCTGCCATCTCCTACCCCTACCCCTCTTTCTCTTGCCTCCTTTTCACTGCTACTCCTCTTTTTACAGCTTGGCCAACCTGGTGACGTTGGAGCTCAGGGACAACCAGCTGAAGTCGCTGCCTACGTAAGTGTCATCTCCCTCATCTCCCGCTTCCGTAGAGTACACATGCAGGGTTAACATCTTATCTAATTTCCCACCATCTCCATCAAGAACAATAAGTGCCTGTTGACAGAACAAGACAACCTCAAATACATTAAGAATTGTCAAAACTGATTCTCCTTTATTACTTTTACTTGTTTACTTTTTAGTTAGAACCTCACTCCCCTACTGTACCTATCGAGTAGCCTGAGAAAACATCTATTGTAGTGTGTGAGAACATGACAGAAACGACAGGCTACCTGTAGCTACGTAGGTTTAAACACATTCTTTGCATATGTCATTACGAATGTGTGGTGTATGTATGTGTATATATATGTATATATATTTGACTTTAACTATATTTATTTGTTGTTCTTTTCTTTTCAGGGTTAGGGTTATCTTTGTAAAGCGACTTTGAGCACTTGTAAAAGCGCTAACAAAATAAATCTATTATTATGTCGTTATAGGCAAAGCTCTGCTCTTTGTTCTTTCAGGCCTCATATTAGTGTGACTTAATGCTATTTTGTGTGTATTCAGGTCCCTCTCCTTCCTGGTTAAACTGGAACAGCTGGACCTGGGCAGCAATGAACTGGAAGTTTTGGTAGGTAGATAACTCGTCTTCCCCTTTTTTAATCTTAGTTCTACTTCTCAGTGCTCTAACAGCACCTGCAGTTGTGCTTAAAAATGTATTTTATGTTGCCAGTGCAGCACACTCTCAGACTCCCACCACAATAATTACAATCCAAACCACAAGATTACTTCACCAAACCCAGCAGAGCCGGTCTGTCAGACCTGAGGCCCTGCATGCATATACCTCATAATGAGCCCTGCTCTAAGCCTGGGAAACGCCCACCATGTCTCCTGGGACGGTAAACAATTCCTCATGACCCGACAAGGGCGGAGGCTGAGCAAACACTCGACAACTATGATGAAAGGCTGCCTTCCATAAGCCACTGCACTACTTACATTTGAGAATATTCAAGAATTTAGCAGACTGATCCTAGGACTGTAAAGAAATTAAATGTTTCACTGTAATTTACCTTGAACTTCAACCATGAAATGTATCTACAAATGATATGTGTATTTAGGGCACATGATTTCTGTTTGCGGTGGCCTTAACCAGCGAAACAGTTTTCAGATGCGTTTATTAAATCATGCAGCCCCTGCCTTTGCACCTCAAACATTACCAAATATAATAAACTGCCCCAATGTTCTCCCTCCTTCTCCTCCTCTTCTGCTATGTCTCCTCTCCTAGCCGGACACCCTCGGTGCTCTCCCTAACCTTAGGGAGCTTTGGCTGGACCGTAACCAGTTGTCCTCATTACCACCAGTAAGTACACTTTCATAGAAATGTGTAGGAACTATAATTAATCTCCTTTATCCTTCTTTTATAAACAAAACAAAATTCCACATATGCAGAATTATCGCCCCAGATTTCTTCCCTTTGTTTTTGCTGTGAAGGTAATGGTTGTGTTGGGCGTCCGTGGCTCTCTGTAAGTGGTATTTATTGTGTGTCTGTGCAGGAGCTGGGGAACCTCCGGAGACTGGTGTGTCTGGATGTGTCAGAGAATCGTCTGGAGGAGCTTCCCTCAGAGCTGAACGGCCTCCTGGCGCTCACTGACCTGCTGCTCACACAGAACCTGCTGGAGGACGTCCCAGACAGCATAGGTGAGAAAACACATGGGGGGAAAAAAGAAATATTGTCTAGGTGGAGGAAGTGTTTTATCTATGGTACCAGTCCCAGAAGTCCAGTTTGAGTAACAAATGACTGCTGATTTACATGTTAGCATAGTTATGCGGTAGAATAACTATGCTAACATTAAGAAAGCCTTTGTAGATGTTGTCGCGTTGAGGTCCATCCCTGTTACCATCTCTATCATTGCTCCCTATGAATGGGTCATCTGTGCAAATACTGTATTATAATATTTTAACTGTTACTCAAACAGCAAGATAGAAATGAGGTCAATATTAGTTGACATCAAAGAACCCCATGAATTTCTGATGTTTGCTATCTAATTAGGCAGTAGTAGTTTGAATATTCCTCCTGTTAAGCCCTGGAGCCCCCCAACGTTTTTTTTCGAGACTGTGTCTCAGGGCCTCTTAACAATTATGAAACTATTAATGAGTAGCACCAGATTAACGGGAAGAATCTCAGCTAACTGAAGATATGAACCATTTTTACCAAAACAAAACACAAGTCTCATAAGAAGCATCTAAATGACCCCTGAGCAAAAAAATGCAAACTGACTTTGGCACAGAACTCAAGATAAAGATACCCTTATTACTTACCGTAACTGCACATACAATATATCCGATTAAAGCTAAGACTCCACAGATTATATAGGTATAGTATCATCACTGAGCAATCCGAACTCGCGACAGGGGAAGTAAACACAGACATCACAACACGTACCTTTACGGAGCTTTTACGGGAGATCGTCTCACCGTAGCTGTCAATCTGATCAAAAGACGTGTTCAATGGCATTAAAACGAGAAAAAACATAGCTGAATCGGTTAATCCATAGGTTGATAATGTTTCTGTCGCTTTGAAAAAATTATTTATAATCCATAATTCAATTTTTATGTAAAAATCGGAGAAAATAAGTTATCTGCTAATGGTAGCCAACAGAGTGTATGCAGCTTCCGGTTTTGGCAACGCGTCACTCTCACTCCTTATTTGGTAACGTGTTTGTGTGTGTAGAACTTTCCCTCGATTCCATTGGCTCCAGCGGTTATAAAGAGATTTCATTCGTCAAAATCGAGCAAGGGGGGCCAGAGATATGGAAAATCCACCCAAATGACCCCATTTTTTTCTAAATCTCTCTAAAAAGGTCAAATTTCACTTTTTTTGCATCAATCTTGATACAGGGTACTTATTATATGTTTTACTTTGGATTCCTAAAGCTTTTAGTCTACTAACCATCCAAGGGTAATTTTCACTATAAGTAAAAAATAACTTTTGGATGGACACTCTAATTTACAGTTTTTTTACTATGTTCAATCTGAATTTTTTTTTAAATAAAAAACATCTATATTGATTCTGATTTTTCTACATCCAACTCACAGGTTTATCATTACTTTGAGAACAAAGATTATTAATTTAACCCTTTTTAGAAGGGAAGATATAGTCATTTGTTCTGGGAATGTCATTTTCGAGCCTGAGACCTGAAAAACAGGCTCAGGGTTGAACAGAAGCAGGCCAACTGTGCATGGAGACTGTTCTCTGTTAAATAACAACACTGCCCTCTACTGGAAGAATAATGCTAGTGAAGAGTGACTCAAGCTATACGGCCTGTTATCTGTTTTTCTGTTTTCAATTGAATTTCATTCGGCGCATGGATCCATTTAAAAATATTTCAGTGTAAATGCCATCTTGTTTGTTAACTGCTTCTGTGTTTTTGTCCAGGCTGCCTGAAACAGCTGTCTATCTTCAAAGTGGACCAAAACAGACTGACCCAACTGACTGATTCAATAGGGGAGTGTGAAAACCTCACAGAACTCGTCTTAACAGAGAACCTTTTAGAGGTAAGGAGATACAAACCACACAAACAGCCTCACACTGACCCAGTTGGGATGTATAAATGCCTTATACCTTAGTCTAATTAACAGTTATTAAGCCTCATTTATCATTTTCACTGAATATGAATGACTTCCTTCTCCCTCCCTCAAAGTCACTTCCTCGCTCGCTGGGCAAGCTTAAGAAGCTGACCAACCTGAATGTAGACCGCAACCATTTGGGCACCGTGCCCAAAGAGCTGGGCGGCTGTGCCTGTCTCAACGTCCTCTCTCTCAGAGACAATCGCCTGGGCAAACTGCCCGCTGAGCTCGCAGATGCCACTGAGCTGCATGTGCTGGATGTGGCCGGAAATAGGTAAACCTCTCTTAACACCCTGCACTGTAGCTGATTCACGGAAGCTATACATGCCAAGGTCAAAGATTTCATTGGAATGCCTTTGCCAAAATGGACTTTCAGCATTACCAGCATCCTGCCGTTGTGCCCTTGTTAAATGTGATCAGTATAACCTTGTAGGGAGGTTTTTCAAAAGCTCTGCTGCTAAATTATGTTAAAATAATCTATTAGAAAACTTCAAGCAAATGCATCATTGTCAAAGAGTTGTGGCCCATTTCCAAAGGGAGTAAGGTGTCTGCAGAGTTATGGAGGTTATCCCTGCAATTATTTTACTCTGTGAGCATTGAGGTATACACTCATTAATTATAACGTTGCATAAACTCTAAATACCAAGGTTTGAGTTTTGCGACGGCCCTTCAAATATCCAAGACCCTGTCATTTAACCTACTAGAATTCAAAGTTTCCGGCTCATCCCTTACCTCTTCTTCTGTCCAGATTACAAAACCTGCCTTTTGCCCTGACAAACCTCAACCTGAAGGCCATGTGGCTCGCAGAGAACCAGTCACAGCCCATGCTCAAGTTCCAGACAGAGGATGATGAGCAGACAGGAGAGAAGGTGCTGACCTGCTATCTACTGCCTCAGCAGCCTTCCCCCAGCCTCGGTGAGCAGCACTCAGTAAACACAATGTGACGTTTTTATAGGATCGTCATTGTATTTTATTAGGCGTACAGCAAATAGAGAAAGCCTTTGTCAGTCATTTAAAGGGCTTCTCAAACCTTCTATTTGGCTTATCAAACGGCATCAAAGTTTAAATCAATTGTTTATCATAACTTTTATTTAATGATGATTTTTTTGCATGCTTTTGTATCATATCCCTTCAATTGATCCCTATTTTGAATACTACATTTGTACTAAGGCCTTAATGACTAATTGTATTCCCGGTCTTATATTTGAAGCTATTTGTTATTGTGTATAGATTTGATTGAATAAGCTCACCAGAAATAGCTTGTAAAACACATGGATTGTGAGACTCATATTCAGGAAGAGATTCTTTGATCAACAGCTAGAAACTAAATTTGACACTTTTTTTGTTCCACAGAGAACTTGCTACAGAACAGTGTGGACGACAGCTGGACGGACAGCAACCTCAACAGAGTGTCAGTCATTCAGTTCCAGGAAGAGACCAAGGCTCAGGAGGAGGACGATGAGGCTGCTGCAGAGCGCAGAGTGAGGAAACACAACACAGCACTGCAGTGTCACTTTATATCTTCTGTATATGCTATTTTGCTCACATTATTTACATGTTTTGGCTTTCTAGTAGGGGTGCACCGAATGGGAAATTCTTGGCCGAAACCGATACCGAAAATAGGAAACAGTTGGCCGAAAACCGAATGCCGAAAGGCCAAAAATGATTAATAGAAATATATATATATATATATATTTTACCAATGTTGTTCAGTTACCTGATTATGGAAAAAGACATGATTATGTAACTTAAATAATAATCACTATTATGGGTCCATAAAACATTTATTCAGCACTTTTGAATGCATACAGTACATTAATTCCAAGTCAAGTTGTCAACCCTCCCGATTTTCGCGGGAGACTCCCGATTTCATTGCCCTCTCCCG